AGTGTGTTGTATCTTAAGCCTTCTCCCCACTACCATTAGTGTGTTGTATCTTAAGCCTTCTCCCCACTACCATTAGTGTGTTGTATCTTAAGTCTTCTCCCCACTACCATTAGTGTGTTGTATCTTAAGCCTTCTCCTCCACTACCATTAGTGTGTTGTATCTTAAGCCTTCTCCCCACTACCATTAGTGTGTTGTATCTTAAGCCTTCTCCCCACTACCATTAGTGTGTTGTATCTTAAGCCTTCTCCCCACTACCATTAGTGTGTTGTATCTTAAGTCTTCTCCCCACTACCATTAGTGTGTTGTATCTTAAGCCTTCTCCCCACTACCATTAGTGTGTTGTATCTTAAGCCTTCTCCCCACTACCATTAGTGTGTTGTATCTTAAGCCTTCTCCCCACTACCATTACTGTGTTGTATCTTAAGCCTTCTCCCCACTACCATTACTGTGTTGTATCTTAAGCCTTCTCCCCACTACCATTACTGTGTTGTATCTTAAGCCTTCTCCCCACTACCATTACTGTGTTTTTTACTATCAAACTGGTGCTACTTGGAAGATCTTTGGTAGTTAGGTTAAATTGTCAAGTAGTAGATTCCATATATTTTATTGTGTCTATGTAATTTTGAATGTCTGTTCATAGTTTATGCTTCTCTGTGAAATATTTTGTGTAATTTATTAAGAATCACTTTCTGACATGGGAGGTCTTCCTGTCTGCAAACTTTTGTAATGGTAGTGACAGTACTGGAATGATATTTAAGTGGTTATAAATCCACTATTTTATAATAGTCATACTCATAGTAGAAAGACTTGTAGGTGAACAATGATGGTGATAGCTCTTAAATTTGGACAGATCAGTGGCAGAGCACTGGCCTTGTAACCTAGAGGTCCTGGTCCTCTTTTAACTTAAGAGCTTTTTCATGTTAAAGTTTACCTTAAAAATTCTTCCTTCATTGTTATCTAATAGAATTATATACCATACTTTATAGCATAATAGATGCAACCATATTTTAGCAAAGCATATTTATGATAAAATACATTTGAGTGTATTAAAGTATTTATTTACTCCAAATAACATTAAACTGAAAATATGAAATCTGCATATAACAAAAACCTTATTTCAGTGATATTATCATACAGGTTAACTGTAGACAAGACATACAATATGCAAATTGCAGGCTTTAAAGCAAAAAGTTTGGCAAGAAGTTTTAATGGGTAAATTGGTTACCTCTTCTGGTTTAATTAACTCCACAAATATAGGTTATAAAAACCCTATCTTAAATGTTAACAGGTAAATTGTTACCTTGCCTTGTTTAATTAACTCCACAAAGATAGGTCATTAATGTTTAACAGGTAAATTAGTTATTTCTCCTTGTTTAATTAACTCCACAAACATAGGTCTTAAAACACACGTGTATTTCATGTTAACACACCTTAATCCAGACAAATTTAGGTATATGAGCCATTGCTTGTTGATGTGCATTTCATGTTAACACACCTTAATCCAGACATAAATTTATGTGTATGAGCTACTGCTTATTGATGTGCATTTCATGTTAACACACCTTAATCCAGACATAAATTTATGTGTATGAGCCACTGCTTATTGATGTGCATTTCATGTTAACACACCTTAATCCAGACATAAATTTATGTGTATGAGCCACTGCTTATTGATGTGTATTTCATGTTAACATGTTTCAATCACGATGTATGTCCAAATTTCAAATAAAACCATATTGTTTTGTCATGTGCTTACAATTATTAATATTTATCATTACAAATATATACTGGTCACAGGTCAGTAGCTGGAGTGTTTACCTGTGACCAGTAGGGAACAGTATATATTCGTAAAGCAAATATTTCTAACCAGCATTCGACAGATAATGCAGGAAAGGTTTCTTGGACATAAAATGTTTTATTCTGCATTCTTAGGAAACTTAATGTTTTAAAAGAATTTAAAAACAAACATACTGAAAGATTCATTTTCAGGTATTTCTGTCAAGAGATTTCAATTATGTTATGATATCATAACTTAACTCAACTTTTATTAAATATCAGTTCAGTAGATATGAACGTCATCATAATAAAACAAACCCAGAAAATAATAACAATTGTTTGTTTTTTAAACAAAATACGAATGTTTAGTCGTTTCTTTTCTTCCTAAAGACCAGAAACAAATGATGGAACCTTTACTACATGTAATTAATTATAAAATAATTAAAGACTGACAATTCCTTCAAATACAAAAGTTGCAAAAAATTGTTCTTTAATAGTAACTTGATACACATGTGAAAAAATCAAACTTTTCAGTGTGTTCTTCAGCATCATTTCAAGAATAAAGACAGATTCTGATGAACATTACAGGAAGTGAATTGACACAGCTTAACAATATTGATACTGATCAAATTTGAACTTAACAGAGATAAACACCATCTTGTCTGGTTAAATGTTCAAGTTTAGAGAAATACAAAGCTGATCTCTCTCAAAAACCAAATTTATTGCAACAACGAACATCATAATTGTCAAGAGTGCAATAAAGTATTTACAAACTATCGCTCTCAGCATTACAGTAGAAATTCTCTTTTCTTATATAACTTTAAATAAAGTAGTTTCATTTAGGGTTCTTTGGATTATTCATAATGCTGTATTACTCAAATCTGGATATGATGATCCATGCTACTGAAATGCAGTAAGGACTCGTTCTGAGTAACAACAACAGAAGTTAAGAAACAGGTATCAAAACAAATAAAAATAACCATGATGTTTTACTGTTCACAGGAGTTACACAGAGAATGACTGGTGATGTTCTCTATTGTGTCCAGCAAGTCAGAATAACCATGATGTTTTACTGTTCACAGGAGTTACGTAGTGAACAACTGGTGATGTTCTCTATTGTGTTCAATAAGTCAGAATAACCATGATGTTTCACAGTTCACAGGAGTTACACAGAGAACAACTGGTGATGTTTTCCATTGTGTCCAGTAACTCAGGATAACCATGATGTTTTACTGTTCACAGGAGTTACGTAGTCAACAACTGGTGATGTTCTCCATTGTGTCCAGTAACTCAGGACTAACCATGATGTTTTACTGTTCACAGGAGTTACGTAGTGAACAACTGGTGATGTTCTCTATTGTGTCCAGTAACTCAAGATAACCATGATGTTTTACTGATCATACAAAAGATGAACTCTAGCGATGCTCTCTCCTAGGTGACTTTCGGTGACCCGTGTTTCAATCGATAATGTTGTAACATTGCATGATTTCTAGTAAACACTTTCCCACAGGCTCTGCAAACAAAATTTCTGTGGCTCTTATGTTGATAATGATAATGAACTCTCCATGATTCATAGGAGTTGAAAAGTTTGTGGCAGACTGGACAAATGGACTGAATTAGGTTGTCTCCATTTCTGACATTACCTAAAATAAGTAAAAAAGAAAATGCTATTAAAATATTATTTTACTTTCAAAAAGGAATTTTAACAACATCCTTTACCAAGAAATTCATCATAGTTGCCTTACTCAATCATAACCTTTCACAGAATTGTTTTTAAAATGGAAGGTGCTTGAACAGAATATTTGCATAAATCCCTTCAAGTGCTAGTAACAGAAGTCTTAAAAAAGAGAAGGAAAACCTTTTCATACCAGCATCCGTATATAAAGTTCACAAGCTTATAAAATACACTACCAATACTGTATGGATCATCAGACTAAGGCATAAGTTTCTGGCCGCATTCATGTTTCGAACGACAATGTTGTAGCATAGTGTGTCTTCTAGTGAATATCTTCCCGCAGGATCGACATGGAAAATTTCGATGGCTCTTATGTTGATGATGAAAATGAACTTTCTGTGAGTTATAAGACCTGAAACTCAAGTTGCACAGTGGACACGGAAAGGAAGAAGACTGGTTGTCACTTCCACGATGCCAAAACAAGTCTAGAACAGAACAGAGAATTACAATTTCAATTTTTAAAACTTTGAAATTTGAAGATCATGCCAGATTGTACAAAAATTTTATACATTACTCCACATATGAAGATATGGACGATCGCTGTCACCTCTATAGTACACACATTTGTAGTTTATATATCTGTCACCTCTATAGTACACACACTTGTAGTTTATATATCTGTCACCTCTATAGTATAGTACACACACTTGTAGTTTATATATCTGTTAGTTCTGTCACCTCTATAGTATAGTA